AAGGAGATTCAGAAGAAATTCAACCTAGACCTCGATCATCTTTGTCTGATAACTCTTCTTCTGCAGACAAAACTATTACCCAAGAAATAATATTCTCAAATACTAGTGAATCTATCCAATAATAAGAAAGTGAAATGGATGAAGTACTCTTACAATCTTCCAATAGAACTACTGGTAATACATGATTTAGGAGCAACATAACTACACCAAAACTACAAGAAGTAGCTGATCTTGTCGACACTTCAAATCTGAGAAATATTGCACCTTTAGAAGATTAATTTGACCCTGAAACTTTTCACCAATACTCTATTTTTACTGACTCAGAATCATTTAACGTAACCCAAATTCGTAACCCTCAAAGTGAAGAAGATTTTTACTAAAGTTTTCAATCTATCCCTTCAGATATTGGTTAAGGCGGATATAAATTACCTCCTTCAAGTAGTCAAGCATTCAACTCAACTCCTATTGGTACAGTCAGTAATATTTTTACGAACCCTCCACTATCAAGCATTCATATTACTGTAACTGCTATTAATAAGGAAAATAACTAGTATCTTCACAAACCAACATGAAGCTGAATCAAAACATTGCAAGTTCAAGTTTCTCAAAATTTATTAACCCTTCAAACCTTACTGCTATTTTCACTGCCTCTTCTGTTTTTAATACGTCACAACCTCTGAGTTATGGTCATTATTCTGGATTTGGATATACTACTGGATACTAGCAACAACAGCAACAGCAACAGTCTAATTTCAATTCAAATAATAATTCAAGCAATAATAAAGTAAATATTCCATCAAATCAATTGGCTGCCCTATTACAACAAATGACAACTACCCTTCAAGGATTAACTTTAGCAAGCCCTGTAAATACCGCAGCAGCAAATAGAGAATTAAATATCATCAAACCCAGTAACTTTCATGGTCGTGATGATAAGGATCCATTTGAATGGATTACAGCTTTTGAACGAGCTGCTACTGCAAATCTATGGCAAGATAATCATAAATATCAAATAGCTGCAGGTTATTTAAAAGATGCCACAGCCAAATGGTATGAGGAAGATTATATAAATATCAATAACTGGAATAATTTAGGAAGTGCAACCAGTTTTGTATCTCGATTCACTTGACAATTTGCCAATGCTACAATGAAAAATAAGTGGATGTCAGAATTAGAAATGTTGCAACAATTATCTAGTCAAACAGTTAGTGAATATGCTTTAAAATTCAAAACTTTAATGAGTAGAGTTGATCCTATAGGAAATTTTGGACAAGACTATTAAGTTAGAAAATTTATGCGAGGATTACAACCACAACTCATGACTATGATTGTAGGACATAGCCTTAATAATCTGGACGCTGCTATTCAAAAAGCTAAAGAAATAGAAACTGGATTTTCTATGGCTCAATCTATTCAACAACAACAAATAATGGCTAGTCAAGTTGAACTTCTCCAACAACAACTAGCTCAACTCTCAGCAAATTTAGCTAAAACTCAAAACCGTCAGCATAAACCAGAACAAAGACTATATAATGATGGTAATACTAATAATAATAGATATACTCAGTGACCTTTAATTTGCTTCAATTGTGGAGAAGAAGGACATTTCGCACGTGACTGTTAAACTGAAATAACCACTAAAGCTCAACCTCGAATCTTAACTAAGTCTCGTCCAAAAAATGTAAATATGATAGAAACTGAAGAAGAAGAAAAAATTTTTGTAGCTCACTCAGAATCTCAAGCTGAAATAGAAAACGAACGTCTCAATCAACATCAAATCTCCTACCTCACTTACATAAAGTTTTTCTGCAATCACATTGGGAACAAGAATATAATATAGTTCAAGATTTAAAAAGACATGACGCTCATGTATCATTTGGACAATTTCTTAAGAATCCTCAATATCGTAAACAATTAAAAGCAGAAATTGAACGAGTTGAAAAAGATGTCAATATTAATTTAACCCAAACTCATGTTAATGACAATAATAAATATACTGCAGCAAGATTTATAATTAGATATAAAATGAATCCAGTCAAAGCCATCTTAGACTCAGGAGCCGCTGCTTGTATTATTTCTACCTCTCTTGCAAGCAAATTGAAGTTGAAACCCTATAAAGCTTCTGATATTATAGTTATTACTGCAGATGGTCAAAGAAAAAGATCTTTAGAAATAATTACCAATACTCCATTAATTATTCAAGACACTCAATTCACAGTCGATCTTTAACTTATTGAATCAACTCAAGATACTTTATTATTAGAAATTAATTGGTTCAAAACCTTTGACGCCAGAATGTTCTTCGATCAAGATAAAATCAGATTAAGAATTAATAACCAATTTGTTGAATTACATATAAAATGCATAGAAGAGCATCAACCCTTCTTTAGAATTTTATCTACTTCAATCGATGATGAAAATTCAGAAAAATATGATGACAAACTTTTAAGAGAGACTGATCTTTATAGCATTGAACCTAAAGATGATATACTCTCTGATTATGATTGGAAAACAAACTCTAATTACTCTATTGAACAGGATGAATTAGAACAAATCGAATGTCCCTATGATTCATATGATGACATCTTTAATGTTTAAGAATTATACCTAGCTGAGAAAGAAACTTCTTTAAACTCTGAACAAAAATATATCATTTCGCTATTACCTAAAGAAGTAATCTCTACTAGTGGAACTGATATTGAATGAACTTTATTTATTAATCATCAAATACCTTTGCAACTAAATACTAAACTAATTGCTTAACACCCATTAGGGTTGGATTAGTCCGGTTCAGTCCGGTCTGGTCTAAAAAGACTGGTCTTTCATCTTTCTTTGGACCAGACTAGTCCATAAGTCAGTTCTAGGACCGGTCCTAAGACCGGTCTTGTATCATTCGGTCTTACCAGTCCAGTCCGGTCCAAGATTTATTTTTTCTCGAACCTGACCGATTTATAAGACTGGTTCAAGGATCAGTTTAGAACATACTAGAAAAATATAAATGATCAATTTAATAAAATAATTGTATAAATTAAATAAAAAAGTATAATAAAATAATTGTATACGAAACGATTCCTGCGTCTTCTTAATCTCATTATTCCGATATTTTCATTTCAGACATTATCATTACAGTAAACTATTATGACAGGTCCAAGAACTGACTTATGGACCAGATCGCTCCATAAGAGAGATGAAAATCGGGTCTATCCAACTCTAATTTTGTAATATTTATAAATAAAACAATCTATTTAGTATTTATAAAATTTAAAATAATATGTATAAAAAATAAAAGACTGGTCTAGACCGGTCCTCAAAATATGGACTGAGGACCGCAAGGACCGGTCCTATTAACCAGTCTAAGACCGGTCTTACCAGGACTGATCTATCCCTAATACCCATATCGATTAAATGCTATTAGAAAAGAATTTCTTGAAAAAGAAATTGAGAAAATGTTAGAAAAAGGTATTATATAACCCTCAAAAAGTCTATGGGCCTCTCCTGTCATAATTATTCCAAAGAAAACTAGAGATTTAAGAATTTGTATTGACTATCGCTCCTTAAATAATGTAACTATTACAGATAGTTATTCTATTCCTCATATACAAAATTAATTAGAAAGTTTTCGAACTGCTAAATACTTCACAGTCCTAAACCTTACTAGTGGATATTGGCAAGTTGAAATGGATCCAAAAGATAGACAGAAAACTGCATTCATTATTCCTTCTAGATTATATGAATTTATAGTAATGTCTTTCGGTTTGAAAAATGCACCAGCCACCTTTCAACGTCTAATGAATAAAGTACTACATCACTTATTGAAAACTTTTGTGCAGTATACTTAGATGACATCATAATTTATTCTACTACGTTTCAAGATTATTGCAAATATTTACAACTAGTAATAGAGAGATTAAGAAAAGCGAATCTCAAAATTAAATTAGAAAAATGTTCTTTTGCTTTACACGAATTAGTATATTTAGGACATATCGTAGGAAGCAATGATATCAAACCAGATTCTAAAAAGTTGCAAACTATGAAAAACTTACCTATGCCTAAAACACTAAAAGAAGTTAGAATGGCTTTAGGATTATTCTCCTATTACAGACGCTTTATTCAAAACTTTACAAAAATCGCTGAACCTCAACATGACCTAACTAAAAAGAATAAGAAATGGAATTAGACTAATCAACATCAAGATTCATTTAATATGTTGAAATAAAAATTAATAGAAGCTCCTGTCTTAGCTTAACCTAATCTTAAAAAAGTTTTCATATTACAAATAGACGCTTCTAATAAAGGATTAGGTGCTATTCTTACTCAAAAAGATGATCAAAATGCTGAACATCCAATCGCTTTTGCTAGTAGAAAATCATCTGATCTAGAATTGAAATATACTACTACAGAAAAAGAATGCTTAGCTGTAAGATGGGCTATTGAACACTTCAACCACTATTTATGCTACAAACCTTTCGAAGTAATTACTGATCATTCCACTTTTAGATGGTTATTAACTACTAAACATCTTAAAGGACACATAGCAAGATGGGCCTTATTTTACAAGGATATAATTTTTCAATTAAACATAGAGCAGGAAATAAACACCAAAATGCCGATGTTTTTTCAAGATTAGTACCTGTCAATATGATTGAAACTTATGATTCAGATGAAGACACGAATAATAATTATAAATAGATTCAAGTACATTTCTCAACTCTTAATGTACCAGGATATCAAACCAAATGGCAATGAAACGGGTTAGCTAATAATCGTAATTATAGAAGAAACACTTATTCCTGTAAAGAAACTGACCACTATTCCCATTAGTATTGCAAAAATTGTTTTCACTGAGTGAACCCTTATAGTAACTATATTTCAACTTCAAATGAAAATATCCCATGTGAATGTAATGAAGAATATCAAAAATTCTTTGATTACATTAATAAAGAAAGTTATTCGCTATCAGAATCAAATAGAGGAAATATGTACCAACAAAGTTGAATTATCTAATCTTCTAATTTATATTTTGATAAATACTTTTGAAATTTTCCATTTTTAATATCAAGTTCCTTGAAAGTAATAACTGATGTAGAAAATTTTTTTAAAACTGTTGAGGGTTTTTTTGTGAAACTCTTTAAAACTTTAAATATTTCAGAAAGGTATTCCTTAAATTTCTCGTCATATTCTTCAATATTATCATTATTCTTAAGATCAAGAACTTCTTCAAATTAAGAGAAAGATTTTGCCCAGGATCAACGCAGCTGTCAACTGGATATTTCTCAAATATAAACTTATAGGCATCGACGAGACCATTTAATTTGGATTTTGGTTCAATGCGAAAATCCATCCAGTTATCAAATTCACTTATAGTTTTGAAATTACCAGCAATTTTTAACTTTGTGTCAGAAATAACATCAATCACACTAAATTTCTCTCACATTAACACTATAAATTCTCCATTATAAACAAATTCTTTAAAGCATGTATTCTTTTCTTCGATAATAGAATCAATTAATCTTACACGTCCAATTGACTGTTTTTGCATTCGTTCCTGAAAATGATATTAAGTTTTTTCGAGGGCTATTTAACTATTGAGGAATTAAAACATTCAGTTTGTAAATCAATTGACATCAAGTGAGTTTGTAACTTGTTAATATGAGTAAATTGCAAGAATTCCAAGGATTGAAGGGTTGGTGGTAAGTCAACAACTATTAAGAAACGTAAGCATTAATAAAAAAAAACATTGTTCGTTTTAAATAATAATAATATAATAGATTACTTTTATTAACAGAACCGTCAAAATTTGTGCAAAAATAAACATAAGTACGCCATATTTCTTTGATTTTGTTAGCATTGACAGTATTATTAATATTTTCCATATCATCAGCAACATGTCTAATCTCATTATCATCCTTGATTCCTGTAACGCTATTATAGTTATTATACTCTAATTTTTCTTTTATAAATGCTACAATACATGAGCTATCGGGAGAACTTAAAACATTTACAATAATATTTGATGGAAAACTACAAACCGCTAGTCAAAATTGCTTAGTTATAAGATTGAAAATACGTGTCCAACCACCTTTTTCAACAAAACAGAGTTCTTCGGTGTCTTTAATAAAAAACAAATGCTAAAGAATTGGGATCATATTATTATACCATTGTAGTAATTGGATATTTGAATCTCGTGCATATAAATATGTTTGTCCATCATTAAAAGAAAGTATATTTAACTATTTTAAAAATAATTTTGATTAGTCTTTATGTTTCTTAATATAATAATAACAATAATATCCTAAGGAAAATTTAACATACCAAAACTTTTTTTGTATCATATATAGCGATAAGATTTTTCAGCTCATTAATTGCAATAAATACATTTTCATCTATATGCAAAGTTTTAAATGATTTAATTGTATATTTGAAATTATTTGCTAACTGTTGAGCAGTATTAAAGAGCATTTCAATTTTTTGGATTTTTTTATTGTAAAGCACAAGAAGAAATTTTCGATTATCAAATTGGACTATTTTTCTGATATTTATAAATATTGTCAGATAATACAAAATTAATTTAATTTAATAAAGTCAAAAAATATATTAAATCATTACCTGAAATCATAAATTGAAGAATCAATCTGAAAAGTTACATCAATACAATAATTATTATAAGGAAGAAAAATTGGATTTGGAATATAAAACTCTTCATTATGTAGATGCAAAATATCCGATTGCTCTAATGATGTCTCATAAATTGTTATTTGAAGCTGTTTTGGTTTAATTATTTCAAACTCATGTTTGAATAAGTAAGTATTATCAATCCTAGTCAAATCATTAGAGTTACAAGGATTATTTGCTAAAATATTAAATAGTATGTTAAAATATCATGTCATTAATCATTTATCAAGTTTATAACCAATCACCTGTTATACTCTATATATTCATTCGCAGAGTTCTTACAAAAAAAAAAAAAAAAAAAAAATGAAAAATTATTTGATACCGATTAATCAATATAATATTTAGAAATTAAGACTACCCATTATTTTGATATTTTTCTTCTATTTCATTGCAAAGCCTATGAAATTCACGAGATTCAATATTTCTCTTTTCTTGCTCAAATTCTTCCTTTAAGTGATGTGATAATTTTTGAATGAGAGAATCTTTTTGCAGAATTTCTTTAATTTCATTAGAAAAGATGTCTTTCACTTTTCTGTATTCTTCAAAGAAAATACTTATTAATTCTTTTTTGTCCTCTCCAAGGTATGATGAATTAACAAGATCTAGTATAAATATTTCATCTGATATATTTTTTAAATTCATAAGGTCTTTTATAGATTTTATATTTAACATATTTTTGGAACTAATTAAATCTTGTACAAAATTTTTATCTTTCAGATTTTTGGTCATATATTTCTTCTTAGTCAAAATTTCGGAATTAATAAGTTCATGTACAAAATCTATAAATAATATATCTTTAAACTTTTTAATAGAGATTGGTTTAAAATATGATTTTTTATCAGTTTATTTGAACAAATCATAAAAAACATGTCTTGCGGAATCTTCATTATTTTCCAATATATCAAAAATAATTGTCGAAGTTAAAATATATCGACATTTCAATTTATTCCAATTGTTGGAATTGATTTTAATTGCTTCATCAATTTGGCCTACTTTATCTGGATATTTTGAATGGATCCTTACTAAATCTAAATTAATTAAACATAAACTTATTAATAAAAAATTATTATAAATAATCCTTAAAGAATACAATACTTAACCTTTATCACTTATATCAATTATATTTTCTCGTGACGGGATTTCCGAGAATTTTCGATCCAAAAGCCTGAAAATAAGTATTAAAAATTAATGATTATTATTTTAAAAAAAAAAAAAAAATATTAAATATATATACCCATAACGATCACTTAATTTTTTCCATGCTAAATTTGAAATTATATCACAATCCTTTTTTATTGTATCTATTTCATGTTTCTTCTTTTCTTCATACTGAAATTTTGCAGCTTGTATTTCATTACGAAATGTTATCAGTTCATCCTCCATTTGTAATCCATGTGTAACCAAGATTTCTAATGAATTCATGTCCATCGTTTTACGATCGTCGTTCTTTTAATTTGAAATAAAGATCTTGTGAGAATTCCGATATATAAAGCCTTTTATGGGATACTTGCGGACGAATAGTCTCCTTTATTAATCTCCGAGTAACAAACGATTGATTTGTAGCATAATATTAGATTAAATAGTTGAATTTTAAAATTATTCATTTCATAGAATACAAATTATTACCAATAGGATGTAAGGGTACACCATCTTCTTGAGTATTTTGTATTTCGGATTTAATTTTATCGGATAATTTCACCTTAATAATCGAAAAAAATATTTAATGATATATTTTATACAGCATAAATAAGTATAAATACAAACCTTAAAGCCGGGATAGATTTTAAAGTCATCCTGTACTTCCTGACTTTTACTGACTTCAAATTCATGAAACCCTTTATCGTCGTCTGAATCAACATCGGTATTGTATAAATTCCAATCGAAACTTTCTAAATCTTCATAACTCATAAGGCAAAGCTGATGCTCGGTAACCTTTGTCAGATATCTATAGGTTTTGCAAAATTATAATTAATTAAAAT